TTACAAAGTCATGGCCACGGCTTAATAGTGTCGTTCCTGCGCCTTAATAAGTTGTGGCTACAGCTTAATCTCATTCCCATGCCTTACTAAGTTGTGGTCACGATTTAATTATTTCATTCCTATACCTTACTAAGTTGTGGCAATGATTTAATTATCTCATTCCTACACCTTACTAAGTCATGGCCACGATTTTATTATCTTGTTCCTACGCCTTACTAAGTCATGGCCATGGCTTAATTATCTCGTTCCTACGCCTTGCTAAGTTGTGGCCACGATTTAATTATCTCGTTCCTACACCTTACTAAGTTGTGGCCATGGCTTAATTATCTTGTTCCCGCACCTTACTAAGTCATGGCCACAGCCTTAATTATCTCGTTCCTACGCCTCACTATGTTGTGCCTACAGTTTAATTATCTCACTCCTACGACTCACAATGTCGTGGCCATGGCTTATATCTCGTTCCTATGCTTTACTTAGTTGTGGCCACGGATAAAGATCTTGTTCCCACGCATTAATATGCTGTGGCCATGCATTATTTTTATTTATATAGGGATGTCACCAGCAGGGCTACATAGAATTTAGCCTCTTGGGGCTAAAATAAAACATAACATGTGACCTGTTCAATAGTTATGGCACATTTCATATTTTATATTTTATTTTTTTTCCAATTCGTTCGTAGACAAAAGCCATATTTAAGCGTGTTCCCTGTACAGAAAGTGTCAATTAGAAAATCAGCAAAGCCAGGTGTGTTGAAATTTTTGCATACAAATGTATTTTATCTACGTGACAAAAATGCACACTTTCAAATGAAGTGAATTCAACGCAGCACTGTGTTCAGCGCAGGCTATTCCTTTAAGCAGAGGAGAGAAGAAAGAAAGAAGGGAGAGGGTGGTAGGGCATGAGATTGAGGCTATAGATCACCATTAAGATGCATCAGAGGCTAAAAGCACCGACTTACAGTCAGAAAGTGTCATCTGGGAGGCCGACTTAGTGCTCTGTGAGTGAATGTGTAAATGAATAGAAGCTGCCAGTAAGACCTTCCACTGGAAACTGTCCACTCAGTCCTGCAGTGAAAAAGCAGCACTAAATCCACTGAATTTAAAAGTCTTCATCTATAACGCATTAATAAAGTTTATCACTGTTCAGAAGTTTGGAATCACCATTCAGGAGTCATTACCTCTCCCAAATCTGGAACAATCAGCTATTCTTGCTCATCAACGCACTCCTGGCTGAACATTCAGCAGCGTCCACTCCCACATCCTCCCCTCTAACGGTCTAATATACTCTTGTGAAGCTGCTAATGGCTGAAATCTAATCAGTGTTGGAGCATTAGACTGTACAGCGTCCGGAGAACCGGAGTACTAATGGACTCTCTCTCTCTCTATCTCTCTCTCTCTCTCTCTCTCTCTCTCTCTCTCTCTCTCTCTCTGTCTTTCTCTTTCTCTTACTCTTTCTCTTTCTCCTCTTTTCCTTTCTCCCTTTCTCTTGTTTTCTCTCCTCTCTCTGTCTTATGTTTCTCTTTATCTTGTGCTCTGTCTCTCTCTCTCTGCTCTTTCTCTTTATCTCTCGCTCTCTTTTCTTTGTATTTACCTCTCTCTTCCCTTTTCTCTTTCTCTTGCTTGCTCTCTCTCTCTCTGTCTGTCTTTCTGTCCTCTCTCTCACTTTTTCTGTCTCTCTCTCTCTTTTCTTTCTCTTTACCTTGCTCTCTCTCTCCTCTTACACTATCTTTCGCCTTTCTTTCACCTTTTTTCTCCTTTCTCTTCCTCTCTTGCTCTTTCTGTCTCTCTCTTTTTCTCTCTCTCCTACTTTCTCCTTTCACTTGCTCTCTCTCTCTGCTTCTCTCTTTCTCTTATTTCTCTTTATCTTCTGCTTGTTCTTTCTCTTTATCTCTTGCTCTCTCTTCTATTTACCTCTCTTCCCCTCCCTCTTTCTTTTGCTCCCTCTCTCCCTCTCTCACTTACTGTCTTTCGCTCTCTTCTTTCTCTTTATCTTGCTCTGCCTCCTCTTTCACTATCTGTTTCACCTCTTTCTTCTCTCTGTCTCTCTCTCTCCTCTTCTACTTTCTCCTTTCACTTGCTCTTTCTCTGCTTCTCTCTCTCTTCTCTCTCTTTATCTCTTGCTCTCTTCTATTTACCTCTCTTCCCCTCCCTCTTTCTCTTGCTTACATTCTCTCCCTCTCTCACTGTCTCTATCTCTCTCTCTTCTTTCTTTTTATCTTGCTCTCTCTCCTCTTTCACTATCTCTTTCACCTTTCTTTTCTCTCCCCTCTCTCTTCCTCTCTTGCTCTTTCTCTCTCTCTCTTCATTCTCTTCCTTATGTCTCCCTCACTGTCTCTTACTCTTTCTGTTTCTCTCTCCCTCTCTTCCTTCTCTATCTCTCCTTTTTATTCCTCCTCTCTCTCTCAATTCCATAGTTGCTTTATTGACATGACAAATTTGCATTTATATTGTCAAAGCAGGGCAATGATAAAATATATAGAGCAACAAAGAAAACTGCTTTCTCTCCCTAACTCCCTCTCTCCCTCTCTTCCTCTCTCCCTCTCTCCCTCTTCCCTTTTCTGTCTCTCAATTTCAGTCTGTGGCTTCATTGGCAATACCAGAAATGCTAGTAGCGTTCATGAAATAAAAACAAACAGAAAAATAGATACAGTACTGTGTGTAAGTGTAGGCAGCTGTTAAAACTAGTTTATTAGTTAAATATTAAATAGATAAATAGTTTAAAACTGGTTATCTGGGCAGTAAAGTGTGTTTTTGCCATTAAATAAACACTATTAGATCAGAATGGATACAAATATACCTGAAATGCAGTAAGAGTTCATAAAAATGTGTTGTTTGTCAGAAAAGTTATGAATATTCAGGTTAGAGGAACACAGTTAGGAGAACACAGGTTTGGTTCCTGACGTCTCGCTGCTCTCCAGCTGTCATATGGGTTTGTTCAGTTCCATCAGCAGCACCTGATTTATTTAACAAAGGTTATTAAAATTGATTCGTTAAACTATGCTCTTAAAAAGATGGTTCTTCAAGGGTTCTTTAGTAGGGAAAATGGTTCTGTATAGGACCATGAATACTCAAAGAACCCTTTGCATGATTAAAGGGTTCTTCGCATCATGAAAGTGCTCTTCAGATTGATTGAGAATGTGTTGTGTGTGGTTCTATATAGCACCTTTTTGAAAAAGTTTCTATATAGAACCATGAACACTCAAAGAACCCTTTGCATAATTAAAGGGTTCTTGCCATCATGAAAGTGTTCTTCATGTTGATTGAGAATGTGTTGTGTGTGGTTCTATATAGCACCTTTTTGAAAAGAGTTCTATATAGAACCATGAACACTCAAAGAGCTCTTTGCATGATTAACGGGTTCTTTCCATTGTGGAAAGCGTTCTTCAGATTGACTGAGAATGTGTTGTGTGTGGTTCTACATAGCACCTGTTTGGAAAGGGTTCTATATAGCACCAAAAGGTGTTCTTCTATTGTGACAATGTCAATCCTGTAACAATAGCAGAACCCTTTTTGGTGCTATATAGAACCCTTTTCAAAAAGGTTCTATGTAGGACCATATAAAAACACACTCTCTGTCAGTCTGAAGAGCCATTTCACCACATACAAAGGGTTCTCTGAGTGCTCGTTGTTCTATATAGAACCATTTTCTTTACTCAAAAAACTTGAAGAACCACCTTTTGTAAGTATGTAGGTGTTGGATGGTAACTGTGAACACTGGACTTCCTCCAGGAGAGATCTGGAGATGGTTAAGCTAACCGTTTGTTTATTGTTGGTTTGTTTACTTGTAATGGTTCTAGGTTGTTTTTGAACACATGAATGCTCGCTGTCCTGATGATAGTTTTAAATATAAGACTATTTCACCGTTCTGGGTGTCTTTTTCTCTCTTCTTCACCCACCCTCTTCACCCATAACCGCTCCTTTACCCCTGGGTCCACTGTGATTTTGTTCTGACCCAGTTAAATGTCGGTGCGTAATGAACTGACCTGGCTTTCAGACTGCAGTTTAATAACTCTGAGATGAGTCTGCCTCATCAGCTCACCTCCACACACACCTGCAGCACAGAGGATGATGCAGGAGCAGATGTGTGGATATATTTGTCTTCAGGCTCAGGGCCTGTACACTGTAGATCAGCTATATCATTTAAGGTGGAAATCATGTCTGCACAATTCAGTCATTCAGAGTGGTTTGGTCTGAAATGGTTCAGATTTCTTTACAGTGGTGGTGATAGGAACCAGGGGTCGCCATGACTACAACACAAATATAGACGTTTTATTTACTATCCAAAACCACCAGTGAACCTACACATGTCTTCTGGGTTTTATATGGAATGTTGATGATGGTAAAATAGTGGAAACACATTTTCTTTGGGGACTGTTTTGCCTCATAACACCCTGCATGTATCCCTCCACCATGAATGGATTTTTGAAAATTCCAGTGAAAATCTTTGAAGTACATTTCTCAAAACTATCATAAACAGTGTCTCAGACATCAGGCAGTGCATTTATAACCACTTCATGTAATGACTTTCTGTGAGGGAGCTTTTAGGGATGGACATCTGGTTCCTATCACCGCCACTGTGAACAATTCTGACTCGGTAAGTTTCTTTAGAGCAGAGCGTTTCACACCAAACCAGTCTGAACGATTTTGTTTGCATGTGAACTGTTTAATTAAGCAGAAATTTAAAAAAAATCATTAGAATTACCTTTTAATCCAATAGTGATGTTGGTCCAATAGGAGAAGAGGTCAGGGATATTCTTGTTAGATAGTCCTGACTTTGGGCTTTTCTTGGCCTTTCTTAATTGAACTCATTCTTTATGTACAAAGGACCATGCAGTTCTATACAAAACAACTTTACTGAATGTCAACAGGCCAGACTGGCACACATTCGATTTTGTAAGATCCACTATGTAATATCTACTGCAAGCTTCTTGTTATTTTGTGGAATTTGGCTCATGTTAAACCTTCATCCCTGTCTTTGTTTCCCTCCTTCTGTTTCTCCAGCTGTAGAAGATCTGCTGGAGTTGATACCGGAGTAAGATGATGTCCAGAAGAACCCTGACCATGCTGGTGTGTGTTGTGAGAGGCAGAGAGAGAGTTTTGGATGTGTTTGTGCATTGCTCTGTATCTGTAAACACAACAGAGTTATTACCGGAGGTGTGTATGTGGGTGTGTTTGAGCGTGAAAACATTTTTATGATACCAATAATTCATGTGCATGTTTATAAACCCACTTTTTTACAATTAAACAATGCAGTTGAGATTTTCTAAAAACCCTGTGATGCATTCTTTATTATTATTTTTAAAAATAAATTCAGCATAAGTACTGTATATCATGTGGAGCAGGACAAATGGCCAGTGATTATTGCTGTGTGTGTGTGTGTGTGTGTGTGTGTGTGTGTGTGTGTGTGTGTGTGTGTGTGTGTTGGGAGGGTGGGAGTGGGTGCATAGCAGATTTCAGTTCTCAGCATGGGCCTGCTCTCATCTCCGTCACCGTTACATAATCTCTGTAACATGCAAAGCAGACCTTCTTTAAGTCTTTCAAAATTCAAAATTAAGCCTGATTGGATCTTTGATTTGGAGAATGAATCTAATTTGGCTCTTTAGTTTAAAAAAGTACAATTTGCATCTTTTATTTCAAGGTAAGTCTAATTTGAAAAGTAAATCTTGTTTGAGTCCATTATTTGAAAAATGAGTCTGATTTGAATCATTGATATAAAAAGTGAGTCTAATTTCAGTTTTTGATTTGAAAAGTGAATCTGATTTGAGTCCATGAATTGGAAAATGAGTCTGATTTGAGTCTTTGATTTGAACAGTGAGTCTAAATTGAATCTTTGATATGAATAGTGAATCTAATTCAAGTCTGTGAAGTTATTCTGATTTGAGTCTTTGATTTGAAAAGTCACTCTTTATCTAGTCTTTTATATGAAAAGTCAGTCTAATTTGAATCTTTTATTTGAAAGGTGAGTCTAATTTGAATCTTTGATATGAAAAGTGAATCTGATTTGAGTCTTTCATATGAAACATGACTAATTTGAGTCTTTGACATGAAAAGTGAGTCTAAGAGTGTTTTGTTTGAAAAGTGGTGTCTGATTTTAGTCATTTATTTAAAAAAGTCGAATTTGAGTCTTTGATTTGAAAATTGAGTCAGATTTAAGTCTTTGATTTGAAAAGTGACTAATTATAGTTTAATTTGAGTCTTTGATTTGAAAAGTGAGTCTGATTTGAGTCTTTGATTTAAAAATTGAGTCTGATTTGATCTTTCTTTTGGATTCTGTTTTGAATTCTTCACCTCTTGCTTTCACTGTGGTTACTTCAACCCAGACACAGTTACGCTGTATTCACATGTTTGCGTTAAAAAAAAGGCCTTCCGCACATCATAGCGGTACACAGATGACAGCGGCATGAAGCCACACAACCATTGGCATGCCTTCTTAATCATTATTATCTAATATCAGACAATTTATATGAGAAGTTTCAGTCAGGTTTTTGTTCTAACCATAGTATAGAGACAGCATTGATTCACGTTGTGAATGACCTCAGGCTCAGCACTGATGCACAAAATCCTTCTATTTTGGTTTTATTAGGTCTTAGTGCAGCTTTTGATACTGTTGAGCACAGGATTTTAATCCAGCATCTTGAATGCTGGGATCGGCCTCTCAGGCACAGTTTTAGAATGGTTTAAATCATATTTAGGTAAAAGGCCGTTCATGGTTTCACTTGGAAATCATTCATCAAAAAGATTTGCTATTTCTTGTGGAGTCCCTCAAGGTTCAGTCTTAGGATCTTTGCTTTTCTCTTTGTACATGCTACCTCTAGGTGATGTCATTAGGAAGCATAGCATACATTTTCATAGCTGTGCTGACGACACCCAGCTATACAATTCTGTTCCTTCTGAAGATTAAGACTCTGTAGACAGACTAACCAGCTGTGTGTCAGATATTTCTCAGTGGATGTCGCAAAATTTTCTGCAATTAAATCATGAAAAAACGGAAATAATGATCATTGGTACAGAAACTCAGAGAAAAATGATTTATGAGAAACTTTAGTTTCATCTACCAAACCTGAAGTACGAAACCTGGGTGTGATTTTAGACTCTGAGCTCTGTTTTACCCCACATGTAAACACAGTCACTAAAGTAGCTTTTTATCATTTGAGAAATATCGCAACGCAGAGAAACTTGTTCATGCATTTGTTACAAGCAGACTTGACTACTGTAATGCTCTTCTTACTGGACTTCCTAAGAAAACTACACATCCCTTACAACTTGTACAAAATGCAGCAGCGCGCATCCTAACAAAAACAAAACAGAGAGATCATATCACTCCTGTTTTAAAAGAGCTGCACTGGCTACCTATATTATTCAGGATGGATTTTAAGGTTCTGTTACTAGTTTTTAAAGCTCAAAATGACCTTAAAACACTGCTTACATCACAGAGTGTCTGTCTGTTTATGTTCCGGCACGTAATCTAAGATCTGCAGATAGTGGCCTTCTACAGATACCCTCTGTAAAATACACAAAACATGGAGAGGCCTCTTTCAGCTATTATACTTCTAAACTGTGGAACTCAATTCCACCTTTTATTAGACAGTCAGGCTCAGTGCTCACTTTTAAGAAGCATCTACAAACGTATCTCTTTAAGTTAGCATTTAATTAAAACTCTATGTCTCATGGTATTTATCTTCTAATTCGATCTTTTTCATTTTCCTCTGATTCGAAATCAGTACTAATGATTTCTTGTATAACTATGTTTTATCACCTGTCTGTAAAGCACTTTGAGCTGCCACCGGCATGAAAAGTGCTATATAAATAAATTATTATTATTATTATTATTATTATTATTATGCTGCATAAATAAAAAGTGATCCCCTATAAATGCTACGAAACTAAAACAATAAAGTACCACATTGTAAAAGTTCATATTTTCAGAGAACTAAATATCACTTTGCTCGGCTGAGGGAGACTTACTGCAGTCTCTCTTACAACTCAGCTGGTGGAAGGTCATTTTCTTATGTAGCTCCTAAACTCTGGAATAGCACTTCAGAGAGGTTAGTAGGAATGTTAGCTTGATAGATGATAACCCTAAAAGTACTGAGGCTCATTTCTGCTGTTTGCAATTGTGCTGTTATTTTAATTTAATGTGTAATGTTTTTATCGTCCTACGTTTTTCCTTATATTCCTGTAAAGCCTGTTGAGATTGCATAACCAAAATGCTTCTATTCTTATAAAACTATCATCACAACAAGGTTTCAAGATCAGTATCAGGAAAAAGAAAACATAGTATTGTACTATCTCTATCAGTTAGTCCAATCAAAATCAGTTCATTAGTAATCAAGCAGTGAAAAGCGTTAGCTAATCAGAGGATATTGTAACATTGGGAGAGAAGAAGGGGCAGGAGGCAAGCACAAGTCCTTGTTTCTATCCACAAAGTAACAAAACAATAAGAACACTCATTAACAAAAGACTACACCAGAATGGAAACGAGACTAAAGAACATGAAGAGGACTACAAAACAAACAAAAGAAAACAAGAACAGAGCCTGAGAACACCAAGCAAACACATAACACACAACCAGGGGTATAAATAAACATAGAGAAAACCAGAAACACCTGGAATTAATGAGAGTGCGCATCTACAGAGAAGAGACAGGTGAGACAGATGACAAGAAGGCAGGACAAGGGAGGAGCCAAAGGCCAGAACAACAACAAAAGCACATGAAACAAGAAAACAAAGGCTGAGACAGAGAAAGAAAAGGACAGAGCAAGACAGAGTGTTACAGATATGATCTGAATTTGTTTCTTTACTGTCTTTGTCTTCACATCACGTTTTATGTCCTCTCGTTTTTTTTTCTCCAGCTCTCTCTTTCATCTCTGATTTTGTATCTGAACCGCTTGGAGACGATTGCATTAGTTTTCCTCTCTTACTCTTTTTTGTTCTTTATTAACTTCTTTATATTAACTTCTCTTTTCTGTTTTTGCCGCTGCAAGAACAGTTTTATTTTCCTCCTTTAAATTCACTCCAGCTTCTTGGAGTTGTCTGTGCGCTGTTTCATGCTGTTTATCTTTCTTCTCTAATACCTCAGTCTCTGACTGTGTTTGCCAGCTTGCTGTACCGGGCTGATTGCCCACGAGAAGAGAGTTAAACATGAACGCTGGACACATACCTGCATCGGGTAACGTGTGGGGGGTGTGTAGGTGTGAGGCAAGCTGTACACACCACGAGCTCTCACCTCGCAGAAGATTTAAGAAGTTCTAGAAGAAGTTTCGGCTCTGTAGGTGTCTGCATGCTGGTGTGCTGTGTGTTTGTATTAATAGAGGTGCTGGTACTTTCCTTGAATAGAGTTCAGTTTATGTCTCATTAAATCTCAAAAGCAATGAAGTGACTGTTGTTGCCCCACCTCATTGACATTGATCGTCTCTATGAAACATATTAATTCAAAACTTGCAGTAACACCACAACTACAATGTCATTTGATTCATTTCCAAGTAATGTAATGTTAAAAGAATTATTTTTCTGTATGAAGGTATTTAATTTAACAAAAATGTCATTTTAAGATCTATTTTATGCACAACCCTGTTACCCAAAACTATCCCCCTTGTAAAACTACGGAACATTCCATTTATTGTGACATATGCAAGTCAGTCATCTTGGTCTTTTCTGCAGAATGAGCATCAGACAAGTCAGTAGTCAGTATTCTCAATGTATCTTCATCATTCAACCCTGTACATATATATATATATATATATATATATATATATATATATATATATATATATAGAACAAAACTTTGTATCTCGATTTTTGTTGTTTTTCAGTTTTTGACACAATTTGAAAATGCCTGTTGTTTTCTACATTGTGCCACTTGGAAAGATGTCTAGTTCCATTGACTTACGTTAAAAGTACAGTATGTTTGTGATATACATATATGTACCTGTTACCCACAAAACTCTACATTTCAGCCCTGTTATTTAGTCATTTGTGGTCTGAACACTTTGTCATAACATGCCACTGAAAAAAGTAGATGTAAGAAGATGTACAAAGTTTGTAAACGATAAACAGTAAAAATATCAGGCAGCACTAACATGATTTCCTTTAAATATCTGTTGAATTGTCTCGCTACTGATTATTTGTGTATTTATAAATGTTCTAAAGTCCACACTTCAAATCTCAGCTCCAAAAAAGTTGAGACAGTATGTGAAATGCTAATACAACCAGAAAGCAGTGATTGGTAAATTATGTTTACTCTGTATTAAATTGAAA